TTTGTTGGGTGATAAGAGTTTAGTATATATCAGATATCTGTAGTCATTTTCTGGTAGCACAATAATTTTCTTCCAAAAACGAAGTAAATTCAGTGATAAATTCACAGCGAGATGTGGTCTTCCTAGTTCCGTCTTAACGAGGCCCCAGGCACAAAACGATTTAGACGAAAAATTTGCTTGAAAAAGAATAGTTATATTTTTTTCACTTTATCAACTGTCAATCTCCCCCATATTGGAAATGCATATAAAATACTCGATCTTATTAACACATCAAATAATCTAAAATAGTTGTTGAGCTACAATTCTTTCATTTTGACAAGTAATCTATAAAGACTTGAGATTTTTACCTTGGCCTCAATTATCACTTTTTCCAAATGAAAAGAAAAGAACCGCGAAGAGTAAAATAAATTCCCAAATATTTAAAATTTGATACAACTTCCAACCAAATAAAATTTATCTGATTTTTTAAAATTTACCTCCTCTACGAAAAATCATTATTTTTTTCTTTTCCAAATTAACTGTTACATAGTTATTATGACAGTATTCTTGAAGTAAATGTAATCTCTCCTGGAGAGCCACGATGAATTTGCCATTAACAGAACATCATCCGCATAAAGAAGACAGTTTATCTTTTCTAAAAATCTAATATTACTGAGATATAATTTTGTGTCATTTTATATAGTAGCTAGATGATAATATATTACTTATAAGTCATCTCAGTTTGTTATAAATAGATCTAAATTTTAATATACAGCTATAGGCCTATATTAGGACTGTGTAGTCAAATTGGGTGAAATTGCAATTGCAGAAGTTTGGCCTTGTAAAGAAATTAATATTAATTTTTCGATCTTCAATATTGTATTTAATGATAATAAACGGCATATTTGCATTTTTATGAGGTTGCTCGTAAGTCTCGACATTTTGATAAATCTAGACTTAAAATTATAATTTAAGCTGTATAAATAATATTAAAGTATAAAAATTTGCTTCTAAAAAAGATTTTTGCTTTATATACACGAATTTTATATTTTAATGCCATTTGTAGTAATGTCGTTTTAAATCATTTTACAGAATTATCTTTTATTGTAACATATTTAATACAGTAATTTTTTTCATTCTCTTGCATTATACTTTAAATTCTTTTGATGATAATCTGAAGCATGATTTTTAAAAATTTAAATTTATGACATCAAAATAATTTCTTTTATGGAAAAATCCTTGATTTAAACGGTTATTTCAACATCTCAAATTTATAGGATTTATGAACAGGCTTATGTAATCAGTTAGAGATTTTAGTCAAAAATAAAATAATATTTAACTTATGGTAAAAGTGGATGAAATGTTTTAAGATAAATATAATTATTGTAATTTCTTATAAAACATTAGATATTAAGTGTTTAGAGTCCAATTTAGAGTAGAATAATCAAGTTCATTTCCTATTTTTGTATAAATAACTTGTGTAAAAATATATTTAATGCATTTTTATTTAAATTGTAATATGATTATTTACGTTGTATTATCTAAGTATTCTATAATGCCATTTCTAATTGTTCTAAATTGTATTTTTATGCTTGTTTGTTGTATTATTCTAAGTTCTGCATGTTCAGCTCCTTTGTTAAGGATCTATTTGGGGGGCCATCTCTTATCTATCAATATGTCTTGTACAGCTTGTCATTTATGGCATTATTTTTTCTGTATAAAATAAAATAAACAAACATTCTTTAACTATAAGGTTAAGTATAATTAATTTTGCTCTAATTTACTATAGAAGTAAGCAAAATCTTTAAGTATTTATTAAAATTATTTAATTTTATATATTCTGAAAGGATGTAGAGCTGAATTTGTAACGCGGTGAGAAGAGAATAATATACACAATTATAATAAGGAAACATTTTTTTTTATTTAAAATTTTTTTTAAATAATTATATTTTCTTCCATAAAACACTATATTTTTACAATTTATAAAATTTAATAAAGTTTTTTACAGTCGTATAATTACATTGTCCAACTTTAAATGGAAACCTTTGTTACACCTTCAACTAATTAATTTTTTAAAATATATTCTTTCACAAAAAACCAAGAAAAAATGAAATCAAAATAATGGAAAATATTCAGTTTCCATTATTTATATTTATCTGATTAATGATTTCATAAACTAATCCGATATTCTATGAAATGACTCGTTTCTAGTGCCATATTTATCTATATACAATTAGTGTGACGTTTTTCATGCGTGTCGTAACGTGTTATTTTAAAGGATATTTTAAACAGTTTTTATTTCCCTCTTTCCTCTATACGAAAGAAGTCTTACAGAATACATCTTCTTAGTTATAAGTATCTACAAGTATATATTTAACAGTACGCGCTGGAAAATAGAGGTGAATCTTCTNTATATACACGAATTTTATATTTTAATGCCATTTGTAGTAATGTCGTTTTAAATCATTTTACAGAATTATCTTTTATTGTAACATATTTAATACAGTAATTTTTTTCATTCTCTTGCATTATACTTTAAATTCTTTTGATGATAATCTGAAGCATGATTTTTAAAAATTTAAATTTATGACATCAAAATAATTTCTTTTATGGAAAAATCCTTGATTTAAACGGTTATTTCAACATCTCAAATTTATAGGATTTATGAACAGGCTTATGTAATCAGTTAGAGATTTTAGTCAAAAATAAAATAATATTTAACTTATGGTAAAAGTGGATGAAATGTTTTAAGATAAATATAATTATTGTAATTTCTTATAAAACATTAGATATTAAGTGTTTAGAGTCCAATTTAGAGTAGAATAATCAAGTTCATTTCCTATTTTTGTATAAATAACTTGTGTAAAAATATATTTAATGCATTTTTATTTAAATTGTAATATGATTATTTACGTTGTATTATCTAAGTATTCTATAATGCCATTTCTAATTGTTCTAAATTGTATTTTTATGCTTGTTTGTTGTATTATTCTAAGTTCTGCATGTTCAGCTCCTTTGTTAAGGATCTATTTGGGGGGCCATCTCTTATCTATCAATATGTCTTGTACAGCTTGTCATTTATGGCATTATTTTTTCTGTATAAAATAAAATAAACAAACGTTCTTTAACTATAAGGTTAAGTATAATTAATTTTGCTCTAATTTACTATAGAAATAAGCAAAATCTTTAAGTATTTATTAAAATTATTTAATTTTATATATTCTGAAAGGATGTAGAGCTGAATTTGTAACGCGGTGAGAAGAGAATAACATACACAATTATAATAAGGAAACATTTTTTTATTTAAAAAATTTTTTAAATAATTATATTTTCTTCCATAAAACACTATATTTTTACAATTTATAAAATTTAATAAAGTTTTTTACAGTCGTATAATTACATTGTCCAACTTTAAATGGAAACCTTTGTTACACCTTCAACTAATTAATTTTTTAAAATATATTCTTTCACAAAAAACCAAGAAAAAATGAAATCAAAATAATGGAAAATATTCAGTTTCCATTATTTATATTTATCTGATTAATGATTTCATAAACTAATCCGATATTCTATGAAATGACTCGTTTCTAGTGCCATATTTATCTATATACAATTAGTGTGACGTTTTTCATGCGTGTCGTAACGTGTTATTTTAAAGGATATTTTAAACAGTTTTTATTTCCCTCTTTCCTCTATACGAAAGAAGTCTTACAGAATACATCTTCTTAGTTATAAGTATCTACAAGTATATATTTAACAGTACGCGCTGGAAAATAGAGGTGAATCTTCTGTATTTTTTCCTAATTTACTGTTTAAATTATACTAACTAGTGACTAAATAGTTTTAATAATAGTTTTAATTCAGTAAACAATCTTTATTCGAGATGATTAGGTTAAAAAAACTGTCGCCAAATGACAAGTTAACATATTTTTAGCATATGTACTCGAACATTTTGTTAACACAATTAAACAATTCTCGCCCTACGTACTCTACTTAACCTTAATTTTAAAAACCTTTATTAACTTTACATTCTTAGAATCTGTATATAGAGTAGTTCATATTATAGAAGTGATACATCACTGCAAGACTCGTGTTTAATCACCAAACTCCTGGTACTTGGCGGACGAATTGTTACAAATCTAATCTGTTATTAATTATTTCGAATAATCGTTCAGCTGTAAGAGCATAAAAAATAATATTTTTGTAAACGATAAATCATAATTTTCGTGTTTTTATCCCGAAAAACATCTATTATCTCTTCATCTCCTGTAAGAAAGCTCGTGAAGTCCCATTCTTTGCTCTTGCATAGTTATGTGAAATGTAATTATCTTTAGAAAAAAATTAAATTATGGAAGGTTTGTCATGGCATTTAATTGAATTATATAATATTTTGATGCTTATAAATGATGTATATAATTTTTTATGTGAAAACTGGTTATAAACAGGATTTTTACAGGACGTGATGTCAATACAGATTTCATAATATATATATAATATTTTTTGGAATTATTTTCGATCGAGAAAATTAAGTAATTTGAATTAATTACATTTAAATATTGCGCTTTGTTTTGTTAAATAAGTACGTAATTATTATTATTTTTAAAGCATTAATTTAACCGAGTAACAGTTAATTCTCTATGATACTATAAAGATTATTATTTATTTGCTCAACCTGATCTTAAGTTAGCCGGAATACTGAACACAGTTATATCTTGTACTTTAATTATATTTAAAATTACAATTAATTAATTCAATAGTTAATTTTCCCCCTACAAAGAAATATATTTAAGGATCTTCCCATCGTAAAGTAGTAATTGTAGTATCGTATTTAACGTTTATATAATTTAATATACGACTGATTAATGCTACCTACGTAGACCGATATAACCGGAAATGTACGTAGCGTCATGGTGACGTCATCGATAACGTAAATTTTGTAGTTTCTATCTTAAGTACTATTTATCTCAGTCATCTCTCGTTGTTAATGCAGGATGGCTCCACTTTAAATTATCCTCATTTTTTAGGATTTTCACAGGATTGTGGGTATGATATTGTTTACAAATATATATATATATAT